GAGGAGGAGGAGGAGGAGGAGGAGGGGTAAGGGAGGTAGGGGTAGGGTAAGGGTAGGGTAGGTAGGTAGGTAGGTAGGTAGGTAGGAGTAGGAGAGAGAGAGAGAGAGATAGAGAGAGAGAGAGAGAGAGAGAGAGAGAGAATGGTGTGGTTGAGAGAGACTGGTCAATGAGGGAAATGATGGGCCCAGTTTGAATAAAACAGAAAACCAGTTCCCCAGTTCACCAGTAATCACCTCCACTCCTTTTTTTTAGAAAATGTCACCTCCACTCCTTTTTTAGAAAATGTATCGTAATGTACACTACCCGTTCCAAAAGACGGTGCAGATGATGGAGCCACAACTATTCCATTGCATCGGGGGATGCACCCAAAACAATTTCCCCACACACCCTCACACACAGCGATATATATATCTAATAAACTAATATGCAACTAATCAGTCGTAATGCGAACTACCATTATAAACACACATTTATGGTCTCAAAAAAACAATATACTTCAACAGATGGACTATCCCTAAAAGTTGACCCTACCACACCGTATGACTGAGTAACTACATACACAGTAAATAACAGAGCACAATATTTCTTACATTGCATTCAGTTCGTATAATTTTTTATGGGAAACATAATTCACACTCTATATTGATTTCTCTATCTCTACAAAAATGACAATTTTTTATACCTGTAGAGAAACAGGATAAGGACATAGCAACATGTGTGATGCTAAAGTTAATTAAAAAGCCAGCCATATTTCATCAGAAAGTATAGAACCAATCTCATTAGACTTTCTTTGCTTGAGTCATAAAGGCCAGACGTCTCGGTTCCATGAGTTCCATCCAAGTGACATGCTACAAATTCTTTGGTCCTCACTACTGCAATCTTTGGCTGAAGGCCATTCATTATCCGTTTTCAACAAGAAGAAAATGAGAACTAACACTAGCAGCAGGATTGAAGGGATTTAACAAGGCAAACCCTGCAGTTTAAGCTTCCAGAACTGTCCATGTGCTTCTTCATGACCTAATTGAGGATGGCTGAAAGCAAAGCAATTGTGCTTACATGTACATGCATGTGGTCATTAGCATGCACAGTATTTCTTTTTTTCTTTTTTTCCTTTTTGAATGTTAACATGGGACATGGTGAGAATGGAACTCTAGACATCAATAGTGGCACCTGCCACTGTGGCCACCTCTACCTAGAGCCCATTCTCGTGGACACGCACAGTATATTATGTACATATGTATGTAAGAGCCCATGCATGCATGAATGAGGACACAAGCGAGTGTGAAGATAAAAAAAATACATATGTAGAAAAGTAGTTTGTACCATACTTACGGGAATCTCTCACCCCAGGTGATGATTCCACTTCAAAATCCCAATTCAACGATTCCTTAGAGGAATCTTCATGGAACCCCTTTCCATGAAATTAAGAATCTCCATTCCATATTTATTAAATCTCAGTTCGATTTTTTTGGAATCCGATTCTACAGCATCAAATACTGTGAATCACAAGTGTGTGGAACGACAATTAGATCAACATAGAATCTTGCTTCCAGCTTTATAGAATCCCGATTCCTTTTTTTTGCTTTTGAAATCCAGATTCTACAGCATCAAATACTGCAATTTACTAGTGCTAGAACTTAGCAGCTACTTGTTTTAAAGATAACTAGGAAAGAGATTTGGGTTCTACTCTATTACAACGTGGAGCATCACAATGATGAACAAACTCTAATTTTCAACTATATATATTAAAATCAAAATCTCATTTTCAGTATTTTTTAAAAAATATTTGTATGTTTTGTAAACACAATCATCAATTCCTTAGATTTCATGATTTATTGACAAGGTACTTTTCCAAAATTTTCTGGAGCTAACTATGCTCGGAGTATGCTGTTTGTAATGATTCGAAAGCATACCTATTAATCTTTAATATTTATCATTTGCAGTTGCCATGTTTATGTTATGTTGTTAGTGGCAACATAGCAGCATTCAGTGGATTTAACACATCAAAATCACTCCCTTTGAGATCTGCATTAATGGGAGATGGTATTGAATTCAGTCTGGATTTACAGTTATAGCCAGAGGATATTAGATGTCATTGTAAACAAGGATATAAGCCGTGCTACTGCAACAGTCCAGCAAAGGGCCGGTGTTGCATGCTAATATGCGTTGACACCTCCGGACTCTTAAAAGATAAAACCAAAAAAAGTGCTCACAAGGTTCTCGGACATAAGACCTCTTGGAGAGGTGCTGTGTGGTCCCCCACTTTACTACTGATTACTAATGCTAATCTAAGCTGATTTCCAATCTTAACCTAAGGGCATTTTATGATTTATAGATAAAACTTCTATTATTTGTTTCAAATAATATTTGTGTGAAATTATTCTATGTGTCCTACTCTTTATGCCCGAGAGCTACACGTATGTGAGACAGCAACACTCATATAGATTTCCATGTAACATCAGATATAAGTCAATTCTTATTTTTTGTGTGTTCAAAAGGAAAAATTTTTGTATATTAATTAATTATGCATATACATAACTTTCCATTGGTCTAAGAAGGGTGAAGACCTTAAACTTTCCCTTAACCCGTCCCATGCCCGGGGTAAAGAGGCTGGGTTGTGCTAGGTAGGCAGCCAACGTAAAACTTTGTCAAAACTTACTATGAGTCCTGAACCTACAGTACTCAGGGTATGACCTTTAACACAGCAGAATGGCGGACCAGGATTCATGTAGGCAACCCCAATTAGTTGGTAAAAGGCTTTGACGAATTATGAATTCCTTAGTGGACTAGTGAAATACTATATTACCGAAATTTACTATTATTTAATAAATGAACGGTGTCTAAGAACCCTATAAGCATCTGCTAATTGTACGTAACACCATTCCTAAATTTGCAAAACCAAAATAAATATATTGTCTTTTTAACATTTCATTATTAACAAATTGCGCATTTTTACTTTCTTGATTCCAATACCTTGTAGGGAACCATGATTAAGGCCACTTAATACTTTAGGACCGCTGGGAATCTCCAATCCACTATTAAGGGATTCTTAATTCCAATTGGGTTGAAACTTGCTTCCAAAAATGTATGAATGAATCTCGAAGGTTGATGCATGATTCCAAAGAGGTAAGAATCTCAATTCCATTTGGGTTGGGATACATTTCCCATAAAGTAGGAATCTCGATTCTTGCAATTCGCACTGTACATACAGTTATTCCAACATGATGAATCTTCTAGCTGCTGCAATTCCATGCTTCCAATTCCTAAACCGATTCTGAATCTCAGGCTTTTCCAACAACCATGGTTTGTACATGGCCATTCTAATTTATATTGCACAAAATACCTACACAAAAGCATCTATGTCTCAGTGATGCCAGGAGTTCACAAACAACATCCTAGAGACCTAGAAACTATGGTACAAACACTTTTGTAACTGCAAAACATCATTTACAATCTGCCATTTGACTAAGAGGTGATGAAAGAGTGAATTCCGCAGATGATCACATCATTGAGATGGTAAAGGTTGCACTCACGTCTCAAGAACCGCATCTAAAATGAGACAAAAGATGGCCACCCCAGTACAACACAGAAAAGATGCAAACGTAAAGGGAAAAGAAAACCGTAGACTTAGATGACCAACAGGAATGCTCATACCGGCTCACTGCGTCCATGTATAGAACGTGCCAGAACATTAGAGGTCCCATCATCCAGTAAAATACGCACTTGGACAGTGGCTGCGGATGCTGCATTGGCAGCAACAGCAGCAGCTTGAGCCGCAACTGCAGCAGCTTCCTTCGCTTTTCTGGAAGTCCCTTTAGGAATGAGAGGCACTCTTGGAGGCAATGCAGATTCCACCACAGCATATCTATCACAACATGTATCCCAAGCAAAAAGTCTTCCTTTGCCTGAATGAACCACTGACCAATCATTTACTTTGTACACTAAAAATAATGAACATACGACCACACAATTGAAACATACCTGTAAACAAATCAACAAAGCACGGAAAACATCAGAATCATCTAGGTGGTCAATCAATGAACTTGTTCAAATCTACGACCACACAATTGAAACATACCTGTAAACAAATCAACAAAGCACGGAAAACATCAGAATCATCTAGGTGGTCAATCAATGAACTTGTTCAAATCAGAAACATCATACCAAATTGCAAAATACACCTTTCACAAATAGAAGATAAAAATCTGCAAAGTATAATTACTGAACTGCAAGAATGAAGGAAAAGAAAGTCATTCAACGAACCGATAAAAAGAAATCATTAAACAAACAATTTGCAGGAACCTAACAGCAACCATACCCATTAGATATAAAACTAAAGAACGCTACTATACCCATTAGATATAAAACTAAAGAACCCAAAGCCTTCTAGATTTCTAAGGCTCACCAATAATAAAAGAAACTCTTACAATTTACCCTTTGAAAGGTGCACTGTAAAATTAATGGAGGACAGTGATTTCCCAGTGCCTAACTGTTTGGAAATTTTGTTCCTATACCCAACATTGCGGGTTTGATTCGCATGCTTTAAAAAATCATAATAACAATAAAAACAACTTTGCAGTTTACCCTTTCAAAAATGACATGTAAAAATAATGATGGACAATGAGTTACCATGGTCAAACAGTTTCTAACTTTTGTTCCTAAAACCAAGATTGAGGGTTTGAGCCCTATGCTTCAAGAAATGGAACCAGATTCCATAGGACCTGACACCAATCCATCTATAAAGAAATTCCTTTACCACATTGTCAGACATCTCCTATCACACCCAGAACAAAGTCTTTCATATGTGCCATTGAATGCAACAATAAGCCATCATCTAGTTATGCCTAGCACTGTCGAAGACAGATAACGCTTTTTTCGCTTTCTAGATTTCTTTTAGAAACCGCTCCAGCCTTACTCCTTTAAACTTTCACCATGTCATCTGTAAACATCGGCTGCCCTACATGTTATTCATCCTTGTTACGTCTCGTCATACATAGAGAAATCCAAAGGATCCAGCAAGTGAATAAGCAAACAGAATTACCATCCTGTAAAATTTCCAAGATCTTATCAATCCATGTCAACCAAATGAGATCATCACAGAATGGAGCATTATCTTTTCCTGTCTTTTCTCGATAATCCATAGGATAGGGTATCGTCCTGCTAATCATGCACAATATTTGAAAGAGAAAGCCAATATGAAGCATTGTCAATCTCATTTAATCCTTTCCTCGATGATATATGCATATTCTGTAGAGGAGTTTAAAGGGGAAAACTCTGCATATTAGGATACACGATGAAATATGTTTGGCATGTTGAGGGATGGATACATGCCCAACAGGAATGACTGCCCTAGCATTTTGGAGCATGTGTCCTTGTGTATTCTATTGAATTCATGAGGTACATGCATTTGCCTTGGGTATGACGTTTTTAATGCTCACCAAACAAGCCAAATCATGTAGTGAGGAGAGAATAAATAAAGAATATTTGAAAAAATACAGTGACCTGCAGGGAAGCCACCCCACAGAAATCAAGTCTAAGAAAACCAATAGCTCCTCTCTACATCTTTCTTTACAATAGATCATGTATTTGGAAACAAAAGAAACCCCAAAACCCTAAAAATATTTAATGTTTATAAAACTAAATGACTTAATCCGAAAATCTCTGAAAAATAATCAAACTTAGCCCTACAGATTCCTAAGAAATAAACCATAGTTGTTGGAAATGCATGGGAACCTGAATCGTTTTAGGAACCGGAAACGCAGAATCACGGCTGGCTAGAAGATTCCTGTCTTAGGAATCGTTGTCCGTACATTAGGAATCGTTAGGAATGAGATTCCTAGTTTTTAAGAATCGTGTCTCGACTGAAATAGATCTAAATTTCATCCACAAACGGAATCAAGATTCCATCCTCATTGGAATCGAGATTCCATCCTCCTTGGAATCGAGATTCCATCCTCCTTGGAAACGAGATTCCCATCCCCCTGGAATCGACACTCCAGGAGTCAAGATTCATTAATATGCGGAATCGAGTTTCTGACATCTATGTAATTGAGTTTCTGGCATATGTGGTACAGAGATATGTTGCTATTTCAAATCGTGATTTTGACATATGTGGAATCAGTTTTTGAAGTATATGTATCAAAGAGCCATAACAATTTGAGATCGAGATTTACAATAATATGGAATATGGAATGCGTTTGACGACCCCCATCAGGAATCGAGATTTCATTTTTATGGAGAACAAAGCCCCAAGCACATCTTGAGCCTTATCAACTTTAGAACCTATATTGGACGTCTCTTATTAGAAGGTTTCCCAAATTTTAAAGTTATTGTGTTGACTATTGAACTTACGGTCATTATATACAAAAGCAAGTATTTCTAAGTTGTGATTTTGACTTTATTATTATAAAGACAAAATAGGATTATGTTTGTGCCATGGTTTTACTTTTAATTGCATGTGTTGTACTAACCAATTATATTTTAAATTTGAAGTAAAGGCCCTCTAGGGTGGCACAAGTAAAATACTGATAAACTGCAACCACTAAAAGCATTCGAATGAAGATTTCTAGTTCAATTTCCTTTAGGAAGTGCACAACCATCACAAACATTGGACATTATGTATTTTGTATTGGTTTTTTTTTTCTTTGATACTTTGAATTTATTTATTTTTGAATCAAGATTTAATCCTCGCTGGAATCCAAATTCGATATACTTGGGAACGTCTACCCATAATTAATGGGTTCAAGTTTCTAAAGATGTGTTGGATCGAGATTCCGAAATTAAGGAATAGAGTTTCCTTGGTTCCAATAAATGATTTCTAAAGAAGCGCTGAATCAAGATTCCGAAATTAAGGAATCGAGTTTCCTTAGTTTTGAAAAATGGTTTCTAAAGATGTGTTGAATCGAGATTCCGAAATTAAGGAATCGAGTTTCTTTGGTTCTGAAAGATGGTTTCCATGGAGATTCCTCAACAAAAACACGGAATCGAGCTTCAGAACCAGTATCTCGAGGTCGGTGGAGAGCTTCTGGTAACTATGAAATAAACCTTAATGATATAAAATAAGTATCACCCTAATTACATCATAAAGCACACCTGTTAGGCACGTTGGAGCATGGGCTACATATATGCCCATACCCGACAAGTTGCGTCTAGCATACATCCTTTTTCCTTTTTTTCTTTCTTTTTTTTTCGAAATTGCATGTACCTCAACATATTCTTTTTTTGTTTTTTTTTTTTTTTTTTCTTTTTTAAGGATTGCACATCGACAATTGTTCCCCAGGCAACCAAGGACCAGCTTGTTTCAGAGCTATCCATGGAGACTGCTAAGGGTATACTTTGTTCTCGAGTTTGGGATATATTGCAATTTCAACTCAATAATGACTGAGACTATCACACTGCTCAAAGGCTTGAAAAAAGTCCCCAAATAGGGAATATTGGTAGCCCCCTTATTGTAGAGAGTGACTCCAAGAATACCATACTTTGGGCCTCCAAAAGAGCCCAAAGCCCATGGAGATCAATTCCTTTCTTAGACCACATATTTCATCTTTGTGGCCAGCTAAACCTCACATCCAGTGGGCAGCCAACCATGTAGCCAATGCCCTGGATAGTGAGGGCAGGGCAAGGGGACCTACAGGGGAAAACCAGCAGCTATCCAACTGTTTTTTGCTCTTGTGGGACCATAAATGCATCAGTTTTCCATTTATTGTAGCAATGACCAACATAACCATTCTTTGATGCTAGAGAACTGTATACCCCTCATTTTTCTTTTGATACTATGTAAGGAGCATTCAACCTGTGAGGAGTTGTTTTCGTGCATATGTGATGCAGGAGAATTTGAGGGAACAATAAAATAAGAAAGGAACAAAGCCAAACACAAGCACAATTCGAAGAAACCGAGGGTTTCTTCTCCATATCCCAAGCTAAGATTGCAAAAGCATAAGCTTTTCTCTCTTTTAATTTCTAGAAATCATGTGGAATTGACCCCCTCAAGGTCCCACATCTTCTTATAATATAATTAAGAGAAAACTCATTATCCCCCATTTTTAATTTCCATATCTCATGAGACCCAAGAATTGAAAATATTACTTATAAACAAAGGTCTCCATTTTTTCTATCTTACAACCCCTTGGACCCATTTGACCATAAATTTTTGACCCAAACAAACATTAAAATGACACCCTATTCAAACTCCATCTCTCTCCCCCTAAAACTCTATCTCTCCCTCTAAAACTCCATCTCTCTCTCTCTTCGCTTCTTGGTGAGTTTACCAACCAAGGGGTTTAGCTTGAGCTCGAGCTCGAACATGAACACGAGCACACCTTCTTATGTGTGACAGAGAGATGGAGTTTTAGAGAGAGAGAGATGGAGTTTGGGTTTTAGAAAGAGATGGAGTTTTAGAGAAAGAGAGATGGAGTTTGAGTTTTAGGGAGAGAGAGAGACGATGATATGAGAGAAAGATGTAGTTTGGGTTTTAGAGAGAGATGGAGTTTTGAGAGAGAGAGAGACGATGATGTGAGAGAGATAGAGTTTTGGAGAGACGGAGAGATAGAGTCATTTCATAAGTTGTTGAGGTCAATAATACATGGTGAAAAGGGTTTAGGGGGTTGGAAGATAGAAAAAATGGAGTCTTTTTGCTTACAAGTAATATTTTTAATTCTTGGGTCTAATGAGATATAGACGATAAAAGTAGGGGATAATAGGATATTTTCCCTATAATTAAATGCTCAAAGTACAAAACATATCCAAACAAATAATACATTGACCCATATATCCTAATTTAACTTAATTTATAATGACAGTTTTACCCCTATAAACAGTACTGGTGAATATTACTTACGAAGTAAATAAAAAAATAAAAACCATAGAAAACTAAAACCATAAAAAACCCTAGAAATAAACCCTAAAACTAAACTATAATATACATCATTTAAAGTAGAATAAAAATAAAAAATAAGAATAATTTTACCCTCCATTATTCTCCCTAGTTGGAGAAAACTCGAAGACGATTTTTGAAGTGTGCTAAGATGAAATTGGCGTTAGTCCAGCAACATTCTTCAACTCGAATATTGTAAACATGATCCTGAGACTAGTGGGTTACACCACTAATCAAAACACAATGATTGTACAATAGAATTGAGAAACCCTCGAGGAAATAGTCATTGTTTGTCGGTAAAATATTTTAATCACATTAATTTATTGAAATTGCATTACTTCAGCCATGTGACAATGTTGAATTTGCCCAGACTCAGCTCTAAAACACACCACGGGTGCATCTTTGAGATCAACGACTCACATATCAATTCTCCTTTGAGTCCTTCATCTTTTTCCTAGTTAAATATCAATTCAACCACAAAATTTTGATCATCATCATAGATTGGATCTCCTACAAGATCTTGTTCTTCATCTAAGTATGTGTCGAAGATTGGTAGCATATCCCAATCTACATCCTACAGATTTTTATATGATCTGTGTCAAAATTAAGAATCTCATCCTCCAAATCGAAAACCCTAGAGTGATGTTCCCACATCCAAGTCGTTTGTTAGCTATCATCTTCACTGGACTCCCGCGCGGAGTGCAAAAGTGAAAAGGCTTGTACTTGAGATCCTCTAGGTCAGAAAGATCACATCTTACACATTATTGAGGCTCGCGAACTGCTGCACCAGCTGCTGTACTTGCCTTTCAAGTTTCTCAATTCTGTCATCATAGCCGCTTCTTGCTGCCATGGATTCGCCGAAATCACAAACCTTAGGCAAACAATCAACAAAAAAACTATTGAAATCAGCAAGATCTAGGTTGTTTTGGCAAAACTTTAGAAAAAATAGACCCCCATTATAACTTCCCCGTTTTGTTGTGGACCTAGGGCAACAAAAAATTGGTGTTACAGTAACTCTGTATAGTGCTACAGTAACTGCGTACTCCACTACAATACTTTCGATGTAGAATGCAGGCTTTGATACCAATTTGATGCACGAGAATTTGAGGGAACAATTAAATCAACAAGAAACATAGCCAAACACAAGTACAATTCCAAGAAATCGAGGGTTTCTTCTCCATACCTCAAGTAAGGGTTGCAAAACCCTAAGCTTTTCTCTCTTTCACTGTTTAAAAAGCATGTGGAATTGATCTCCTCAAGGCCCTATACACTCTTATATTATAATCTAATGTTCGAAGTATAAAACATGTCCAAACAAATAACACATTGAACCATATATCCTAACTTAACTTAAATTTGTGATGACAGTTTTACCGAGAGGGGTGGGGAAGCCGGAGAAGGACTGAAGACTTCCAGTTGGGTAGGAAAGTGGATGAGGGTAGGCCTTTGAATCTCTTGTGGTTTGAGGCCAAAAAGTTGGTCGAGGATTCGAGCATATTTCTCCTCAAAAGATCCAAGAGTTTCTCTCAATCCAGATGTTCCACCGTAGCTGCCATTCCTGCTTGCCACAAGATTCGGCCAGATTTTGCCCAAGGGCAGTCGTGGCTCAACTTGAACAGTGCTGGTACGAAGGATGGGGTGACCAATTGCCATCCAAAGAGACGAAATAGGGACCCCCAAAGGTTTTGGGCCACAATGCAGTGGAGAAAGAGGTGTGGGCTATTCTCTTCGGCAGACCAACACATAGTACATCTGTGGGGATTGGTAAACCACTCCATTGCGACTGATCAATAGTGAGAGCCTTTTTGAGAAGACCTATCCACAGGAAAGCTTGGATTTTGGGGGGAGCGATGGAGGACGAGGCTTGGGCGATAAGGTGTTTGTAAAAGGAAGCAACAGAGAAGAGGGTCGATGGGGATGGGCTCCAAATCATCCTGTATGGGCCTGAGGGGGCCAGGAAAGAAGAATGAAGAACAGCAGAGAGGTTGGTAAACTCCAAGGATTCAACATCAGTTAAGAGTCCCTGGAAGGAGGGAGACCAGAATTCAGAGGGGCCAAAGAGGGGTAGGGCTTCGGCTACCGAGGAGGATTGGTCTTTAGGAATAGAGAAGAGGGAAGGAAAAAGGCCTCTGAGAGGAGTGTGCCCCAACCAGATGTCAGTCCAGAAGCGAACTCGACGACCCTCCTTGGGTAGAATCTAATGAGTCGTTGAAAGGACGTGAGAGAGGTTAAGAAGGACCTCCAAGCCCCAGATGGTCTACTGGTGGGGTCAAGTTTGTATTTACACTGGATGACATAGATCCAAAGGAGGTTATCAAGGGTAGCTAGACGCCACCACCATTTACCTAAACGTGCCATATTATGTTGTCTTAGTAATTGAATGCCCAAACCCCCAAGGTGATTGGATTGATGAACTTTATCCCAGGCCAAGAGGTGAAGCTTCTTAGAGCCGGCATCCCTTGCCAAGAGAAAATTCTCATAAGATGTTCCTAGTGGGATGAGACAGCCGCAGGGGTGTGAAACAATGACATGAGGTAGTACGACCCGCAAAGGAGAGGAAGCGACCTCTCCATCGGGCTAGGCGTTGGTCAACCTTGTCAATGACATGGGACCATTGTCGCTTTTTCAGTTTGTCCAGGCCAAGAGTCATGCCCAGGTAGGTTGTGGGGAGTTTGTCAATCTGGCAGTTCCAACCTGAGACAAAGGAGAAGGTCTATTTGGGGCTTAAGGCCACCCCTATCATCTTGGATTCTCCATGTTTACTTTGAACACCAGGGCAAATTCGAAGCACTAGAGGAAAAGGCGAAGGGATTCAAGTTCCCCAGTGGAGGCACCAAGAAAGACCAAAGTATCGCCGGCATACTGGAGGTGGGTGAAAAGAAGCCCTCACGGACTGCTTTTGAACCCGGTTTGGCGGCAAGATTGGAACATGAAGGAAATAGATTGGCTGAAAACCTCTGTCGCGATGGAAAACAGGAAATGGGAAAGGGGATCCCCTTGTCCGAGGCCACTAGAAGCCGGGAAGTAATCTTTTGGTGTTTTTTTTATGAAGTTAACTTGTATTAAAATGGTAAAAGATTACATGGCAAGAGTGGTTCGATGTCACCCACAGTTGGGGACTCGATAAAAAATCGTTTAGACTATCTTGTACAAAAAGGGACTTATAGAGTCGCCCAAATACAAAGATTTACAATGAGCGTTCATAAAAAAAAAAACAACTGTGCAAAACCTCAAGCAAAGAGGTTTAAGTTGTGTGCCACTGGTCCCGCGCAAAAAAGAAGGTGGACCCGGCTTGAACATCTTGACTGACTTCTAGCTCCCGCTTTCGCCAACCGATCTACGTAGTCGCTGGACATCCTTCATATATGCTTCCAAGAGATGTCCATAGCCCTGCAAATGTGATGTATCTCATCAAATATTGGAATAAGGTGCCAAGGTGGAGGGCTTGTCCTGCTTGCCCAGGAGATGACATTTTGTGAGTCACCTTCCACTATGAGGTGTAAGCCTCATGACTGATTGTAGTGTTTCAGGGCAATTAAAAAGGCCAAGGCTTCAGCGTGATGGGAGTCCTTTTGGCAAATGTGCCCAGAAAGTGTTTGGAGGATAATGCCATTGCGGTCTCTAAAGACCCCCCCTGCCCCTGCTGGACCCGGATTACCTAGGGAGCACCCATCAAAGTTTAACTTGATCATTCCCTCTAGAGAAGGTTGCCAGTTATTAGGCCTTGTAGTCAAGTGCGGTCGATGATGGAGGAGATTGTACTATTGGGAAAGGAAGAAACTCCCTGAGATGCCCACAAAAACCTTGTGGTTTGAGGCCCAGAAAGTGACCAAAGAGATAGTCATGTGGAAGATTGCCGAAGTTTGAAGTTTAGAGCCAAGAAAGATTCTTGAGTTTCATTCCAGCCAAACAGTCCAGAGTAGCAGCTACAGTTGCCTTCCACAAGATTCTCCCGGCCTTAGGCCAGCAAGAATAAAGATCATAGGATATCAGAGCCTTGACCGAGGGAGGAGTGACCCAGTTGATGCAAAATAATTGCAGGACTCGACCCCAAAGGTCGTAGGAGAACTCACAGAGGATAAAGAAGTGGAGATTTGTTTCCTCCTCACATTCACACAGAGCACACCTATTAGGGATGGGGATCCCTCTTTTCTGAAGCTTATCCACTGTGAGTGCTTTGTGGGAGAAGGCTAGCCAATAGAAAGTCTAAACTTTAGGTGGAGCTATGGTGGCCCACACTCTTAAATGCACCGAGTTAAGAGATCCTGGGAGTGTGGGTAGCAGAGTAAAGCTTTTGTAGAAGGAGGCGACAGAGAAGCTCCTTGAGGGGGCAAGAGTCCAGACTATAACATCGTTGCCTTGAGGCAGGAAGAAAAGAGAGTGTAGGGTTGACGAGAGAACCTGGAAGTGAATGGTTTCATCTTCAGTTAGGTTCCTTCGAAATGAAGGGTTCCAAACTCTTCGTCCTCCGGTCAAAACCAGCACCTCGGCAATTGAGGAATCAATAATATGTGTTAGAGAGAAGAGTGTTGGGAACACCTCACACATGGGTGAGGGTCCTAACCACAAATATGACCAGAATTTAACTCTCGATTCATCTCTTGGGTGGAACCTTATAGACCTTCTGAAAGGAGTGAAGGCAGTTGAGAAAGATTTCCAGGCACCTGATGCGTTGTGCCTCTGAATCCTATCTGGCAACCAGAATGGACCAATTCCTCCATCTTTCTCCAAACCCCATGCGAAACATGATTTCTACCAAGATGGCCCAGTCTACATGGTCATAGGCCATTTTCCAGTCAATCTTATAAGTGAGACCCAGTAGGTTGGCAAGGTGTCTCGAATGCACACATTGATGGGCTACTAAAACCCCGTTGAGAATTTTCTTATCTTTCACGAATACCGATTGAGAGGCGGATATGACATGGGGCAGAACCTCCTTCAAACGGGAGGCACGGACCTTAGCTAAAATTTTGTAAGTAGAGTTGATAAGTCTGATAGGGCAGAAGTCCTTGAGCTCTTTGGCACCATCGATCTTAGGGACAAGGGTGAGGAAAGTAGCATTTAGGGTGGTGTGAATGATTCCTTGGTTGAAAAATTCCTCAAAGAAGGAGAGGAAATCATCCCTGAAGGAGGACCAGAAAATCTTAAAAGGTGCCACCAGGAAGTTGTTCGGCCCCAGTGCCTGATCCTAGCCAAGGTCTGCAATGGCGGAGGTGATTTCTTCTTCAACAAACGGGCGTTGCAACCACTCGGCAAGGTTAGGTGGAAGCGTGAGGAAGGATAAATCGCCCATACGAGGTCGAGGGTTCGGAGGGAGCTGAGAACAGGGATTTGAAGTAAGAGACAACGACCTCTTCGATTTCACCAGGTTGGTCAAGCAATCTATCGTTGACCTTAAGGTGCGAAATAGTATTGTCTCGGCGACGGCAGTTTGCGATCTTGTGGAAGAAGCCAGTGTTGAGCTCACTCGACTCTTACCATTCGACCCTGGATCTTTAGAACCAGTTAACTTCTTCTTTCTTAAGGAGGGAGAGATAGTCTTGTTTGAGCAAGGCTATAGTGAGGCATTCCATTCGGAAAGGGTCAGGATTCCTCGATGAGGTCCAAAGCTTGGATTTCCGAGAGGAGAGAGGCTTTAAGGGGGGTGAAGTTGCCAGAAGGGACCTGCTCCAAGCCTTAAGGGCTCGTTTAAGTAATTGAATTTTATTTTTGAAGTCTGTACAACGCCCTACCCAACACCAAGGGGAGAATGCACTCCACCAAGACGAGAAAAGGGAGAGGAGAGAAGGTTCCTCTAGCCTAGCAAGCTCGAATTGAAAAGGTTTGGGGCCCCTGGCAGTAGGTTGAGTATCAAGGCGGATCGTGGGTTTGGGTATGGAAATGGCATGAGAGCCAAGGAAACCTTGGAGGGGAATGTCAATAAGTTTGTTTCTGGAGATGAAATCAGAGAAGTCGAGCATTCCAGGAAATGTTGGTTTTGGAATTTCGTTCGAAAGACCACCGAGTGATATTAAAGTTGCTCCCCAGGCACTATGCCAAGTGCTGAAGAGAAGCTACCAGGTCAAGTTCCTCCCACAATTGTGGTTTAGCTTCAACAAAGTTTGAACAGTAGATCGCTGAGAACTTCCAGAGTTGTCCATCGGAGATCTTGAAGAGGAGGACAGTGTCCGAGAACCAACCCAGATAGGGGCTGATAAGCGTGTGTAAAGTGGGGTCCTAGACCACCCAAATGCCACCGGACGCACCAGAAGCTGGAATGGATTCCCACTGGGATGGTCGATGTCCCCAAATCTAGCGAATCAGCCTAAGAGAAGGGGAAGGAGATTTAATCTCCAACATAGTTGTTGAGTACGGGAACAGGAATGGATCCGGGATTTGGGGGCGGGATCTGCTGCTCAAAGCTATACTAAAGATCCATGTGTAAGGGATCGATGGCCGTAGAGTCTCAAAGGTTAGAATCAAGGCTCATGCGTATAGGGGATCGAGCTCCTTTATTACATAGGATGGAGAATTATTATATAAAGGTGTGAGATCCTATATGCAAGAAGCGAAGTTCCCAAGGGCAGAGTGCAGTTGTAAAAGTGATCCAACATATTATGGAGCGAGAAATAACTTTTGTAGGAGTGTGTTCCATTTTCTTAACTCGAGTTCCTCATATAGGTAATAAGGATTTGTGGCTTTAAAATGTAGCTCCCGAAGTTGTTAACCAATAACATGTTGGCTTAGTCTTCTATGAAATAAATAAGGACCTCTAAAGTGATCCCATATTGGTGCGATCTGGATGCCAAATATGACGATGCTTGTGTTCCGTCATTTGGAATCCAGATCCCAATGCACTCTGGAGCACGAACCATAAGACTAGGGAACTAGATCCTGTAGTGTTTAGGAAAGCAAAATTAAATTGTAAGGAACTCGCTCCCTTATAATATGGAGAGAGATCTCGAAAACACTAAATTGAGTTTCAGAAGAGATCCACTCTGAGATCGAGAGAATCAAGGTTCTGCAAGGGATCGCCAAGCAAGGAAAGTTATCCCGGTAACTATGGTCTCCAAGAGAGAGGATGGAGGGGTATAGTCTGGATCAAAGGCCGTGGGCAAAAGAACGTTTCAAGGGTTGGCCCAACCCCTTAATATTCCACGAGATGAGCTTCATGGCGAAATCAGTGGGGTGTGGGCCAACCTGAGCTTCCAAAAGCGGGGCGATATCCTCCAAAGAACAAAAAGAGCTTACCTCCATCCTGGCTTGGGCATCGGCTTGAAAGAAGAGATGAAACAGACCTTTTGTGCTAACGTAGGGAAAGTCCATTAGACGAAGAATTTCCTTCACTGTGTCTTACCTCGTCCATACAGTCCACGAATGAAGAAGTCGCACGGGGGGAGAGAGAGAAGGGTTAGAAGAGGAGGGAGGAGAGAGGTGAGGAGCTAGAAGTCTGAAAAGAGGAGAGGGAAGTAGAAGCGAAGGCCTCGAGGGAAGGGGGAGCGAGAGAGGGATAGAAGGGGAGAGGAGCCTAGGAAGAGGGTAGCGTTAGAGGTTATGAGGGAGGAGAAGAGTGCAGGCGAGTGGAGGGGGAGAGAATAGGAGAAGAGGGGGTGGAGAGGGAGGAGCTTGGAAAAGAGTGGCTAGTGAGGGGTGCCAGAATGGGTGCCAGAGGGTGGGGAGGGGCGGGGCTTGGGGAAAAAGGGGAAGGGGGAGAGGAAGAGGGGAAAGGGTCCAAGAAAGGGCTATAGAGGAGGGGTGGAGGACTTGGGATGAGATTGAAAGAAGGGGCTGGGATTGAGTGGGGTAAGAGGCCAAGGTGAAGCATCTGGTAGGGTGGCCAAGGGAGTAAGGGCACGGCGGTGGAGAAGAAGCCTTGAAGGATGCGGGCCGCAAAAGGGACACAGGTCGCAAGAAGCCCCCGAAGCGATAGGTAGGGAAAGATGAGGGGTTCGGCCTCCTGCTCGTGGGGGGGAGGTGATGAGGGGTAGTCCATGTCGGCTTCCGATGAGGAAGGATCAGTCGCAGATGTCGATAGGTCTGAGGAGCCGAGAGTGCAAACTAGGGGAGGAGAGATCACAGGACCAAGGGAGGCCGTAGGTAGGGAGGCTATGTTGGGGACCAAGACTGGCTTTGAAGCAGCAATGAAGGGGAGTGAGTGGGTGTCGCTCGGTTAAGCTAGGGTAAGGGTTGGCCAGGAGCGGGGAGGGAGGCGGGGTATTCTCGCCATGGGAGGTGCGAGTGGTGAAGAGAGAAGAGTGGGGCTGCAAGAGGTGGTGGGGAGGGGTGCACAGTCAAAGGGGAAACGAGAGGGTGGGGAAGGTGAGGGGGTGGGTTGGGGGGCAGCAGAAGGGGAGGATGAGGATGGGCGGGCTACGGTGTAGATAGAGGAAAGAGCGAGAGAAGAGGGGAGGAAGCATGAATCCTCGAGGGTACAATGCCTGGGGAAGGCCAGGTGGCAGCAGATGGGGGGGAAACCGAGGGAGGTGGAGATACGTGGTGAGAGGGGGCGGGTAGGTTGATGGGAGGAGAAAATGAGGGAGAAGGGGGTAGGATACAAGGAGTCAGAGACTAGGTGGGGGCCGTACCATGAGGACAGGGGGCAAAGGATAACTAGGTGCAATGTGGCTGGCCAGGTGGGGGCGCGGTAGTACGGGGCAGTACAGGACAGGATGAGAGGGGTGATGCAAGGGCGGCGGGTCGGGCTACATGGCATGGGGGCCAGGTGAGAGGGTTCCCCAAGAAGAGAGATGGAGCCTGCTCACGACGATGGGGTAGGTGGCAAAGCGGCTGGGGCAATGGCCCAAT